CCCCCCCCCCCCCCCCCCCCCCTGGTTTGGGGGCGTGGGGGAAGAAAAAAAAAAGGAATGAAATTCACATCCTCCAAAAACGAGATTCTAGCATTCTCCACAACCCTGGGAAGATGGAGCTTCAAATTTTCTGGAGCGATTCTGTGGTGAGAGAGGAAGAAGTATGCCAAATTTTGTTCATGTTGTTGCTCTCAGAGAGGAATACGGGGAGTTTGAATTTTGTTGCAGGAAGGGGTTGAAGAAAGGTAATAGGCGCTACCACGCCTATTCATTATTGTTGTGATTTTATTTTTGCCTGCGAGGAAACTGATAGCTTTATCTCGAGTCTTGCTCGGCGAGATTCAGAGGTGAAAGTAACCGGCGGGTATTTTGGGGGACTTTTCAAGGTTCTTGTTTGTCCTCTTCTTTCCCTCAACCGAGGCTGGTCTTGCCTCCCTAACCGATTTGCCTCCCCCACCGGTTTGCCTCCCTCACCGGTTTGCCTCCCTCACCGGTTTGCCTCCCTCACCGGTTTGCCTTCCTCGCCATTTTGCCAAGTGCAGTGTGTTCTGTGGTGTGTTCAGATCGCGGCGGAAAATCATTTTCCCTGACGGATTCCGACTCTCGCAAGTAAGTGAAAATCCAAAATATGGATTCAGCCGCCTATAATTGTCAAGGACAAAGATCTGAGGAAAAAGGAAACTCTTAAGGTGATCGTAACAAATAAGGTGCGTCGACTTTCAGGGGTCCATTAGGATCATCGAATACTGACAGCTTGGTATCCGAAATACTGGAGATTCTCACGCATCTGCCACATCGTACGCGTCCCAGTCAATTTTCATCTGAAACTCTGATGGTTGACTCGAGTGAGACAATCATGAGTCGAAAACACGCGAAGCACTTTTTTTTTTCTACCCAATCGGCGAGGGACAAAAATTCACCAGAAATCACGTGGAAGAAGAAGCACGAACGGTTGATGGCATTCTGGAAGACGCTGTTGATCAGGCTGTCTGGCTCAGGTACTAAGGTTGTCCTTATGTACTTTTGAATTTGGGCTTCGGCAGATGATTCCTGATGACTTTTATGAGTTCGGAGCGAAAATATACGAAGCGGACCACTCCTAAGTCTCGTGTATGAACCGGTTTTATAGACGATTTGACAGTCCATTAGGCAGGGACTTCACGTTCCCGTGGAAGGTCCGAAGCCCACAGGCTTCCAAGGCGGATCGGAATAGGCGAATTTTAAGGTGCACGGCATCGCAGATCGCGAGATTAACGACCCAGCCTCGATCCCCCGCCCCTCGCCAAAATATCATATTTTCCGCATATTTTTGGAGAATGAAGTACTCGTAGATGAGCTGGGAAAAAAGTCATGATGCATAACTGCTCTCAAATCGACATAATCGCCTCTCGGGCATTTTTCCTCTCCCCCCCCCCCCCCCCCCCCCCCCCCCCCCCTTCCCCCCCCCCCCCCTCCCCCAGCATTCGCGGTTGCTCCTTCCCTTTCGCCTTCCCACCCCCGAGGCAGTCTGTGAGGGGAACCGGGCCTGGTGGGATGCAGACGGATGTCCGCTGCCTTTCCTCCACAAACTCCCGTCGCTTTCTCGGTGAAAGGTGTGGCGTGAGGTTAAACATACAATTCCATTCCTGTGTCTTAATTTTGTGTTATCCGTGGCGAGCGTATCTCCTTAATTGATACTGTGATTGATCGATACATCGATCTCGTCAATTGATTGACTAATCGATACATCAATCTCTTTAAATAATCGATATCAAATTCGTTTTCGATCGCTCGATCGACACCCTGGTGTCACTCGTGCCGTCGAGGTGGAGGGCATCGGAGGTTTGAATTCGGCATTCGGCACTTTTCGATCTTGTCGACTTTCATGAAGTCTACGATGAAAGACTCATGGAACTGTACAGACGAGTTTCCAATCACTTCCCATCTGGTCGCTGTTGCCTGGGGCGAAGGCTGCGCGAGGAGGGGAGGGGGAAGGACGGGGAAGCTCTGGATGGGGAATCTTCACGTTCGGGTCCCTCGTTCCAGCCGGTTCATTCGCAATGTCTCGGTGGTCAGGAGTGCAAAGGGATTTAAAATCGGCTCTCTTTAGTCGTCGTTTGGGTCGACTGGATCGACTGCAGTTGAAACTCAACTGGATTGCGACTGACGACTAGGTTGAAATCAGATGCTGTCTGTGTTCAGAGATGACAGTGGTGGACCTGTGCATTGGCAATGGGACATGTCATCCAGTGACTCCGTGACTCGCAGAAACGATTATCGATTATCATGCGCCAAGTCGGATTATTTCCTGGTGCATTTATTTTTATGCATAAATCGATTCATTTCTGTGAAGGGTAAAATTGTGCTCGGAATTTTCTTCATTCTCCCTACGTTTCCTGACGCACCGGCAAAGGCCGAAAACCGGGATGTAAATGTGTTAAATTCCTAGTTTTTAGCGGTGAGGAAGTAAGAAATTGCAGGAAGTGCAAATCTAAAAATTTGCACGATCGAATACCAAAATGTGCAACGCCCTTTCACTTTGAATGAGCAATCTTGAGGGATAAATTACTGTTGCGTACCCGAGGGTCCAGTAGGAAACCTGAACCCCTACAGTCCGATAAAATCCTATAAGATTTCAATATGACCCTAAATGATATTTAAGCTTCGAATAAATGTATGGGTTTATTTTATACGAAATCTATACTTATTTTTATCATTAAGGAAATCCAAATCCACTAATTCCATCTTTCCGAGGAAAAATGCCCGAGAGGCGATTATGTCGATTTGAGAGCAGTTATGCATCATGACTTTTTTCCCAGCTCATCTACGAGTACTTCATTCTCCAAAAATATGCGGAAAATATGATATTTTGGCGAGGAGTTTTGGCCGCGAGGTGACTTATTTTCTTTTCGTTTCTGACAGCCGGAATGTTGATCAATCTCGCGGGCCTGGGGCTGCGCTTCCTCCTGGTCATGGCGGAGTTCTCGTGGCAGCAGCTGCTCCGCTTCTACGTGAAGGAGGAGATCACGTCCCTCAACGACGTCGTGGACTCGGTCGTTCCCGGGGAATACGACCGAGGGAGGGCGTTGAGGAGGGATCTCCCTCAGGACCTGTTCGACCCCAATCCTTCGCGTGAGACCTCTCGAAATGGGAATAGCGGCTAGGTTCGAGTAGGGACGTCGAGAACAATTGTGTCGTGCGTTTGTGTATAAGGTAGGCTTAACCGCATTGAAGATATTTTGCGGAAGCGCACCCACCTGGTCGGTTACTGCTTCGGTGCTTTCTTTTTTATTTTTGTCCATGTAACCTCTTGGTAACGCTAGTCACGGGCAGCCACGACATTGTCACTCATCGCATTCCACGCATTTCCTATTCATTCCGCAACCTGGGTCTCGCTTTGTGTTTACGCAACATGAACCGGTTTCCTCTCTTCCTGTTGTTACAATCGAGATGAAAGATTCTTCCACGTTCCCCATCATCGAATAATGATCTTAAAGCCTGGATGGGGGGCTCCCTGGTAAAGTCCTCATACCGCCTTAATCATTTTGGCATCTCGCTTCAGAACCCTCTCGATCGCCGTTAGGAAACTTTTACGCCTCCAAAATTAAACGCAAAGCTCCGAATGGGGTCTAACCAGAGCTGCACCCAACGAAGCAATGACGCGCGAGCTCTCATTGGCAACGGAACGCATGCTGAGACCCCTTCTCATTGGCCACTAACAGCTGCGCGTGCAGGGGGAATACTTCTTCATGGATCGCGATCCCTGTGTCTCCGTTTGCCTCCTTCAGCTTGTCTTCTCGAGCGCGTTCAGTGGAGGCTCTCACATTTATTATATTTTATTTACATTTACTTCATGTGCTTTTTTTACTCCACCTGTTCAATAGCTATAAATTCATCTTGGCTCTGTCCGTCCTCCGATGGAGGGACATACACCGGGTGTGTCAAAAAAAGTCCCGAATTTTACACGCCTGCAGACGGAATACCATGAGTTATCGACAGGAAATTTACTGGGTTTCTCATCCAATATTTGCACCAATATCCAATATTGGTAATGTCACAATATTTTCAATTAAATTTGTTATTTACTACCAGAGTAACAGTTTTTTTTTCCCGCGCGATGTCAAAAGGAGCGTACTGAAGTGTGCTTGAACAGAACGTGTGTACCTGAAGAAAAACTCTCATGACTTCATTTGAGAAAATTAGTGACCTTCCAAATTCTTCAGACTTAACCCCCCCGACTACAGCACATAGGACGAATTGAAGGAGCCAATTTATGCTGGATGCAATATCCCTTTTACATCACTTGATGAACTGTAGGCTTGAATTGAGGAAGCGTGGCCTCTTGTCTACGACAAAACAATAAGAAAGGAAGTCAACCAATGGAAACCGCGTTTGCGAGCAGTCGTAGACCAGAATGAAGGACCCGATGAAACATCTCTTCAATTGAGGTCAGTCGCACCTCTTTGTACACTCACCCTTTGCACACTCTCGCGAGGAAGAAAAACTGTTACTCTGGTAGTAAACAACAAATTTCATTGAAATCTTTGTGACATTACCTGCAAACATTGGATGTGAAACCCCGTAAATTTCCTGTCGATAACTCATATAACACGCCCTTCTGCAGGCGTGTAAAGTTTGGGACTTTTTTTTACCCACCCGGTTTAATAATTTTCCACTTCGACATTCGCGTGCAGGAAGGAGGAGGTGGGCGAAGTGCTATCCCCCGTACGGCTGCTTCCCAACTGGACACCCTTGGACTTCCCCAGTGAGACCTCGGGTTTTACACCCTGAACCTCCGGAGGTCATCCGACCGGTCTTCTGCCTTTACACCCGCCGGAATCCGAACGAATGCTACGTAGGGTGATTCTCCTTCCCTTTTTATCTTGAAAAAAAAAAACAGGAAATTTTAATACTGCAGCGAAAAATGCATTCAAGCAAGAAGTCGCCCATTCATCGATCGTATTCTCGGGAATGTTGCTCCACGTTTCATTCGCTTCAGCAGCTCCTTCAGAGCATTCATTCCAGGCAGAATATGGGGTAATCAATCAGTCAATCGGTTCGTCCATCACGTCCACATTCTCGAGGAGCTACAGAAACGAATCTTCGAAGCATGCGGCAGAATTCCTCAACGTATGACAGATGAGGGGGAGCTCTTCATAGACTTACTGGCAACGTTCTGCCTATCGCACCTTGACGAAAATTGGCAGATTACAGAAAAATTAACATGTCATTCTACCGCAAAACATCATTAATTCATTACCAATGCTTTTCCTGAAATGTTAAGTTTTCACAAAATGATAAGGATCCGAAAGCTGAAACCTCACTTAGGCGAGATAAAGGGCCTTCCAACCCCCATTTTCACCCCATAGTAGTCCAGGAATTCTCGAAGGACTGTTAAATAAAAGAGGTTTCAGCGTTTGAAGCTAAATCTTTAGAGGAGTCTTATCCTAAATAGAAAACTTGACCTCGATCCGGGCTGTCGATACAGGTTAAAATGTCTCCAAACCTGCACAACACGTGAACCACGAGAGGTGCCCCCGCCCTGCGTAACGATTTGTGGACCTCGGTGCAATTTGTCAGATGTGAACCTCGAGCTTCATGATATTGAGTATCTCTGCTCTAGGCATACCCAAACCACAAACCCAATCCTTGATAGATGGTTGGGCTTATAGTCTCCACGGGCATTTTCAAGTCAAATTCTAATCCAAAAGCGTGAAAATAAAACCTCCCCTACCGTAAAGAACTTAATACGAAATATACTAGCGTCCACAAAAACGCCTCCTGATGGCTCGCAGGGTAAAAGATTTGATGACATTACGTGCCCAATGCTGAACATGTAAACGCTCCCTGAATATTGGCGTGTAGTTGCCATGTCAGAAATATGCATGTACAGGTTTCAAGAAACGGTTCCTGAGGAACCGTTTCTTGCCAGCTGCCCAGAATGCCTCAGCATCCTATCAGCAGCCACTGTCAAGGAGATTTCGTGAACGAGGTTTGAGGTCGATCGTCGTCGAGGTGTGAGAGACAGGTTCCCATCTGTGTTGTGGGCCATGACGGGTTTAAAGGCGGGATGACATGGAACGCAGACAGGTTGCCGGTCGTCATCGACGGAAACCTAACTGCACAGACGTCCCCAGACGTTCTGGCACCAGACTATGTCTCCTTCAACACGGACCGGGACGTGTCCTCCCACAGCCTGAGTCACTCGGCAGTTTCCCCCAGCCAACGTCAGCGTCTTGCCCCGGCCATCCTGGTTTCCCGTCCCATTGAGCACATCAGGGACGAACTGGACGAACATGTGCGCCCTCGACAGAATCCGCAAGACCAGATCGACTCCGTGATGCTTTGCTGATACAGTGGAACAGCCTCCCACGTGCAGTAATTTGCGATTTCCACTTAAATCCTTGAGAGAACAGTTCTGTGACTTGATTTTATCTTCACCTCATTTTTATTTCTCCTACGGAAGAGTTCATGGTATTTCTTCTTAATGTGCAATGCTCCGCATGTGGGTGACGCATAAATTCTTGTCTTCAACCTGCCTCGCTCTGGTTGCGTGTCACGTAGGATGAAATATTTACTGTGTAACGTTTCTTTCGGGCGATAGCATATAATGCCTCTTATGTCAAGCTCCTTTCTTTCCCATCCTGATCATGCTCGCTGCCCTGCTTTACATTCCTTCAGCATTTGAAGACGAACGAGACTTGGAGCCTGGAACAATCCCCGTTCGACCGGAGGCTTCCAGTCACGTTTCTCACTCACGGATTCCTGCAACACGGACGGAAGCCGTGGTTACTGGTGCTGTCCTTCACCTCTTTCTTCATAGAAATATTTGATGTCTGTGTTCCTAATATGGATTGGGGAAATGCAGAGAATGGCGGAGGAGCTGCTGGAGGCGCGAAATCAGAATGTGGTGGTATTGAGCTGGCTCGGGGGATCTGGCCCGCCTTATACACAGGCTGTGGCCAATATCCGGCTCGTCGGAGTCATGGCTGCACATTTCCTTGCCTTCCTTGCTGTAAGAATTCTCTTATTGCTACAGTATAAGCAAGCATCCAGGAACTATTCTCTTCCAACAGAAAATTAACTAACCTAAAATGAGTACATGACGGCCTCTTGTATTTTCCGAATGAGTGAAAAAGCGAACCAAATTTGGAAATGATGGGACAGCATAGTCGCAAAAGGTAGCGGCCGAAATCATTGGCGTTGGACAGATAAATCAAGAGAGCCAAGGATAAACGTTTCTGTGAGTACCCCTAACGATTAATCCAGTATACTTACGAAACTACGGTAGTAGCTCTGTGGAATGTGGAAAAACGTTCCCTTGCGATCTACTACCATTTTTGTTATTTTGTAATGGCCGGATGAAGTAGATCTGTCGGGAAAGTTCTGGCAGCACTTTAGTTAGCCCTAAAGACGGACTCCGGGAGATTTAAGAATTACTTTATCATCATTTCCAAAGTCCTTGCTACTCATAGGAAAAAGTATAACGAGAAATTACTATCAATATGAAGTAGCTGTATATCGATTGATCGATTGAGATGCTAGACATACTTCATATGGGGCATAACATCCGTAAAGCCTCTGAACTGAAGGAATGAATGAAAAAAGTAATATGTGCATTTTGGAAGCGGGAAGCGGGGACTCGAATGGAGGAGGTGCACGTCGTCGGTCACAGCCTGGGAGCTCATATGGCCTCGTACATCGGATCCACGCTCAAGGACATGGGAGTGGGGAGACTGGGTCGCATCACTGGGCTTGACCCGGCTGGACCCCATTTCGAAAACGCAGATCCTCGCGTGAGACTGGATCCTGAGGATGCCCTCTTTGTGGATGTCATTCACACTGATGGAACTCCTCTCGCAGCAGGAGGTAAGGATTGGGATCCCAACCCTTGTCGCAGGTGTAAGATGCAAGAATAGGATGAAATGGTTGCTGTTCGTCTTGACAGGATTCGGGATGCTCCAACCTTCAGGCCACGTGGATTTCTATCCCGATTCCGGGGCTGGCATGCCGGGATGTGGTCTCTCTCCAGGGGAATCCCTGGAAATGAACGGTTCTGCCGTCTTTGGTACGAATCACGATGAGTCTCGAGTTCTCCACGTTTTCCTTGCGCGCATTATTAATCAAGATTTTGCTGAATATGCACTACAAGGATATAGTCCCAAAAGAATGGTTTTGCAAAAGCTGTTCTGCAGATTTTCATCAAATACGTCATCATTCAATTGATGTGTCAATTCATGACAACACTGAAGATGTAGCGCAGCATCCAGAATGCATTGGCTCTACGGTTAGGTCTGTGAACCGAACAATTTGCAGGTTAAGCCCAAAACTGCAATAATCTCGTGAGCGGTGAATACTGCAGGTAGGCTATACATTCTTCACCCCGGTATGGCGTAGGACTGCACTGTTCAAGAAATCGCTGCTACAAAGCCAATCATCTGCATAAATTGAATTTTACTCACCTTAAGGGCTTGCGCAAAACCATGCTTTTTAACCAATCTTCATTGATTATTTTTGGTAGGCATCTATGTCTTCATACAGAGCGAAAAAATGTACGAAAGTATTATTTTTTCTATTTCATTCAGTGCGTGAGAGCCCCAATATCCAGCCCCAAGAAATTCTAGGTACTGTACTGTATAACGAGCGCATTATATTCGTGCGCTGATCTTTGACCTCGCTTCCTCAGGTTTGACGCAATTCCTTTTTTGCAACCACTTGAGGGCCATCGACTACTTCATCGAATCCATCAGTTCTCCCTGCCCCTTCCTCGCTCAGCAATGCTCCAACTGGGTCGAATACACGTGAGTTTTCTGCCTCGGGCGCTCCTTACCTCCACACATCCAATCATTCTTGCGGGAAAAGATGACACGGGTGCAGACGGGGAAGCTGCGTGAGCTGTGGCCAGAGGGGAGAGCTGTGCCGTCGAATGGGATATCACGCAATCGAAGCCTGGGATCCGGATCTCTACGACGGGAAGCCCCGACAACTCTACCTCTTCACCGGTCCTCTCCGCCCCTTCTGCCGTACGACCGCCCGATTCACTCCCGTTTCCACAGGGCGATGATCTTGCGTTGAAACACTGCTGACTGCCGTGAATAGAGGTGACGCACGTGGTGACGGTGGTCATGGCGGATCACCAGGTCTCGCCGGAACTCGGATGGAATGTCGGCAAATTCTACATCACCCTTCACGGCTCTCTTGGTTCTTCCTCTAAATCATGGCTTGGAGATGAGTATGCATATCATTTTACTTCCCTTTCCTATCATGATTGGGGTATAGAGTCATTCCTAATTGTGGAAACACTTAAACTTATTCTCTGTTTTCGGAAAATTTTCTAAATTTTGCATAATTTCTACGCTCTTCAGTCACCTTTAAACGGGTAGCGAAGCTGATGGCAGACTCCTGATTCCAGTTATCCTATTCGACTTATTTCCATTGGCTTTTTCCACTTAAAGCCGAACGACATTCCTCGCTATGGTGAGGGTTACGAATATCTTGTCAGGGGAAAGGATGTGCGGTCTTCCTGAACGAAAAACCCAAACACGGTATTTAGCGTGCATTCCACAATTTCTTCCTAAATCCGGATGCCTGTGATTTAAGCAATATGATCCTCCATTTCAAAAATGGAAAATGTTCCTTCTCCAATGAAAAAATATCCGCTTTCCGTGCCATGCTTGATCTGTTATTTACTTTCTTTTGCACTTCATCACCCGTCATCTATTTCCGAGATGACAGTTTGCGAATCAAAAGCAATGTAAAGATTGCTTTCGAATGATGGGAAAATTTACGTTATCGTGTCACAGGATATAGAATGATCGCGGGAAAACCCAAGGACTACACCAGCTCGAAACTGTCCGGGGAACTGGAACTTTTTTTTCGGAGAGATACTCTCCGAGAAGCATTTCAAAAATGAATCTGTGGACTAACGAGGACTTCTGAGACGGGAAAAATCGTTCGGAATCCTGAGCCCCTTTTGAGGCGCACGTAATCCTTCTCTCCCAGTTCCTGCGAAGCTGCAGAAACTCCGGACATGTATCTTGTTAAAAGCATTTTAATATATTCTATCGTTAGGAATACAGAGCTTGAACTTCACTCGCTCCAGTAGAGTTCCCTTGACATGCAAGGTGCACTGCACAGGATTTCTCGTCTAGAAAGCCATGTATGGGGGGCACCGAATGTCGTTCCAGGGCGGGGCATCATAGCCCCGATAGAGTCCAATCCATGCAGCACCCTCCGAAGCTTTTCTCTAGTTCGGGCCAAACGCAAGGCATCATAGCCAAAGAGAGGTATCTTTATGTCGATGCCAACGATATTGATATCTCCAGGCCCAGGCTGCGCCTGCAGATCCATTGACAACAAGTGGGAAAGAACGGACTCAGGCAGAGACCAACCCCACTGAGAAAGATGCTGGTAATAACCACATACATCCTAGAAGGACTGAATGACCCGCAATAACTCACAATATTATAATTTACTATATGATACATATGTAATAGAAAAATGTGAAGCACTTACAACGCTAGAGTATGGAAAGATACAAAACAAGTCGTAGGCATGAAATCACCATTTAAAAATATGTATTCCTTGACACCTGATACCTTGATATCTGGCCATCTGCTTACTGTAGGCGCAGTCCAATTCCGAAATACTCTCTGAAATTTTATTGCTTCTCTCTAGAGAAATGCTATCCTTGCCCGAACGTCGACCCCGGAATATGACTTTTTTTTTCTGCAAATAAAAACTTTTCCATGAATCTGAAAATGAAACTTCACTTTCAGATTCATGGCACTATTTTCTGGTGGTTCCATTTTCCTGTCTAATTGCCAAAAATCACTTGGTGTAAATGAGCGACCAAAGAAACGTTGTAACACTGGTTCGACTCCTCTCTTGCAGGGATTTGCTTTTCGGGCCGGGCCAGGGATTCAGATTCCTGGTTCCTTCCCTGGAGATCGGCGAAATCGAGGAGATTATCGTAGAATGGGAACACGGAGAAATCGCTAGGGACCCTGCGACTAGGTGGTTCCTCTTCAATTCTAGGATAATCATCGACCGAGTCATCGTTCAGACTCTCGAGCACCGCGCCACGTGAGTCCCATGTCCTCCCTCTCCGCTTGCATCGTCCCAGGATGCGACATCCACGCTTGGCAAACGCGCAGGGCGGATTTCTGCGGTTGGGGTGGAGTGCTGGCGTCCGGGGCGATAATGGTGATGAGACGGGATGACAATAGAGGATGCTTGCAGCAACCCTTGCCCAAGCTCAATCTGTCGCTCAGGGGCTCACTTCGCAACTTCCGTCTGCAGGAAAATATTGAGGAATTTCTTCGACGCACAGGGTCCAAGCTCGTCCTCTAAATTATAACCGTCATTACCGGTCTTATCATTCTCATCTGGCATTGAGAATTATAAAAATCATTTAAATTTTAATCGATGTCGTTTGCAAAGTCATCAAATGGACATGGATTTCCACGCCTGTCCATCTTGCTCATCCCATCGATAACATTGATCTCTCAAGAAAGACATTACCATTCATTTCCTCTCGTTATGATGTACCTGTTGTGGTCCTTCGGACTTTTATATTAAAATGAACTTCTGTTTGGACTCTTGTGATTATTATTTCCATTTTGATCATTTTGGCTGGATTCTGAAATTCCCGTCTTATGGAGTGCACATCATACGCATACGAGAGAAAATTGAGAACCTTGTCCGTCTGCCATCGACATGCAACCCAAACATGAGGGCGTCATTCTTATGAAGATCATACTCATAACATGATGATAATTCTGGTCGGCATGAATACGTCCAAAAACATTCTTAAGCATCCCAGGAAAAACTGAGGGACGGGTACTAACCGCTCGGGGATGCAAAACCCTCCTCTGCATTGCCTTGAGGAGAGGAGCGAATTTGCAACTGCTACATGCGCCAAAAGCGATTCTTATCCGCCGATTCTTCGTTTCTTTTATGATCCCACACTATTATTACTGACTTGTACGTAAATGTCGCTCAGAACGAGGCAAATTTTAGAAGCAATTTCTAGAGCTATAGGGATTGGTGTTCAATTTTCTGCAAATTAATGCAAAGCCGGAATCTGCGGTCCATATTGGCTTAATATTACGAATCAATTCCCAAAACAGGCAAATGAAGGGACAAAGTTGGCCGTCATCTGCTTCAGTGCTGAAAAGCTGGGATAATTTTTGGGGGGGTCTATAGTTTACCGGAAAACTTGCCATCCGACGTCTATTCCCCATTAGGGCGATGTCTGTGTCTCCAGCCTGAATTTCTGATTTTATCATTTTGTGATTTGGGGGAACCATCAGACGTGTGAATTCAGTATCGCCAATTTCATGAAAGAGACCATTTATAAAATTCCATCTTTAATCCTTTCATGGCTGAATAACTAAGCTAATAACTAATGGCTAATAACTGACAAAAAACTAATAAATTTTATCCAACATTTCTCTTCGCAACCTTGCTTTTGATCCAACATGCCTGAATAACAGCCTGCTTGAAGAAACGATGTATCCGCAAATTGTCCTCATCGAGAGCTATCAAACGGTACAATTTAAAACAGATTTTTCAAAAATAGTAATCACCAAAGGATTTCGGAAATGATATTTGATATTTGAAAATAAAAATCATTCGAGATCCCTCTGTATTGCTACATCAATTATCAAATCAAATTATTAAATTAAATTATTAAAAATATATGAAAGACTTCACTCATTCTGTAAATATCGATAAACAAAATGTTGTACCGGCAATACTTGAAAGCACTTGGCATCTGACGTGTGAGAAACCATTCATGGCCGCTAATCTACGTCTCCTATTTTTTTTTTAGAACCTTGATCCGATGACCGCAGGCAAAGGACTCCTCTGTCACGATCTGATATTGTCTCGGGAATTCGATCGGGAGGATTTCGAAAGCGAGGCTGCGAGGAGGCCAAGCTCTTTTTTTTTTAATGCCGGTGAGAAATATAAGACTTACGGGCTGAATCAGCGATTCAAAGGGAAATCGGGTCCAGGGTCCGTTCCTCGCCTGTGCTAAACTTAAATCTAAATCTTAGGCTAAATCTTATTCTGAAGGGTCAGGGCGATGAATAGACTTTTTGCTTTTAGACTGCTTTTAGATTTAGATTTAAGTTTAGCACAGGCGAGGAACAGGCCCCTCAAGTTCGAATGAGAGTGGATGAGAATTCTTTAGGCTTCGTGACGATTGGTCATGAGAGGCTGCAAGCGGCGTCGGTGGGGTTCCATTTAGAGTATCTAGTTCGAACTTGGTGGCTGGTATAAAAAGGGGATTTAATGGTCCTGGGATGGGTTCAGAGACGGGAAATCAAAATAAATTGGGAGTTACGGAGACGAGAATAGGAGCGGCGCTTGGATGCCATGGGGCTCTATAGCGATGGTTGATAATAATTTACCGTTCGTAAATTTGATAAAGTTATGCGTGGTTGTTTTTTTTTTTCGTCTCGGTGGTAAGAAAAGGAGGGGAGCGAGTTGGAGTTGCGTCACACCTGAATAACCTCCAGTAGAGGTTAGATGCCTTCATGGACGAAACAAAATATAGGGGTGGTTGACAGATTGACTATAATTAAATATGGAAATGAGTCGCTGAACAGCAATGGAGCGAGTGAGAGACTCGGAACACGAATTCCTATCGGCGGGTCGACCCATGCCTTGAACCTTTAACCATGAGGGAGACGGCTGTAATGAGGGAAGCGGATTGCTTCGGCAAGTCCCTTAAGCGCAAGGGCAAGGACGACCGTTTAATGGAGAGTGCCCAGTCGATCTCCATTTCAATCTGCTTCCTCGACTTCCTTTTTCTTCCCAGGCGTTTTCGCTTCCCATCAAAGCGAAATGCTCTGGTAATATTGATGGCTTCCTCCTTGGAATGTCGTGGATTGGGCAAACTTTACGCCCTTTTGATCGGGTTGGAGACGTGATACCTTCGATAGCTTATCAAGGTTCGTCAAGGTCAACTTGGATGCCCGCTTCCAGATTTTTTTCTTGTTCTTCGAACCGTATTTTTTTTTATAGGCGTAGTTTGTCCTTCCGCCGGTGTCGATCGGGAAAAGCGATGAGTTTTTTGTCTCTTTTTTTTTCTCGAGGACGACTCGGTCGTCCTCCCTCAGAGGCCGAGTCGTCCTCCCTCAGAGAGAGGAAGACCGTGGGGCCGGGCGCACGTCTTCTTGCTCGCTCGGCGAGTGTCCGTCTCTGTGTTGGGTTCGTAGTTGGAAATTACCTAGACGAATTCCGACCCTTGCGACTCCCCTCCAAAATCGGTGCATTTCCCTCACTATTATTTATTTATCATTATTATTTATTGTTTTTATTTATTAATTATTATTATTTTATGTTATTTATTTATTCATTTATTTTTATTTTTTTTGGGGGCGGGGGGGTTTGTTCACCCAGTGGCAAAAACGTAGGGCTCACCCTCATGCCCACGTTCGCAATCTACATTGAAATGTTAAAAAATGAATGACATTCATTTTGGCTAACTGCTTACTTCCTTCGGTTATTTTTTCACAATTTCTTAATATCTTTTGAATAAAGGAAAGGAATCTCAAAGTTTAACCGTAAATGAAAAATATGGAAGGTTGGGGGGGAGGAGGGAGAGGGGAAGGAGGGAGGGAGGGGGAGGGGGTAAGGGAAGGACTCTGTTCAGCTATGAACATCCTCACTTCAAGGGGGGGGGGGGGGGTGGGGGGGGGGAAGGAGGGAGAGCCTCCTGAATATCAAGTACTGGCAATAGTTTTCTTTCGTCGACCTTTTCCTCCTCGAAGAACTGCATCAAATCCGACCCGATCGCGAGTCGTTTAAACGGGATTTCCGAAACGGGTCGTCATTTTTCGGGCAAGAAAGGCACGGAACCCGGGGCCACACAAGGGTGGCCACAAAAGGGTGGCCACAAGCAGGCCAAGTGGAGCGGGTGGCAGAAAAGAATTTCCGATTTTCTCATTCGCGATGAATTTGCGACGATTTTCTTGGAGGCGACCGCCGCATGATGTCGGCCAGACTCGGTCGGCCAGGCTCGGTCGGCCTCACACGCCGCGGAAAGGGTTAACAAAAAAGAAGTAAATATGACTCTGTAACAGACAAATTCTTTATACCAGTACAACTGGTAAACTGTTTGTTTATCCTGCGTAAATTGCGCAAACTTGGAAGCATTAATCATTTATTGTTCCTTCCTAGTTAGTAAATAAAAAATGGGAAAATAAGTAAATATGAACATTAAAAAAGGGCAGATTGGATTTTGAGGGCCGACAGATTGGTAATTATGGAAATTTGTGCGCGAGTCACCTTGGGGGCTGAAGGTCAAGTCCTGTGATGGATGAAGGACTTGATAATAAATGGGAAAAGTTCCACCGTTTAGGTCAGCGGTTCTCAAACTGGAGGGGGGGGGGGGGAGGGGGGGATTTTATTTTTATTTTTTTAGTTATCGATTGTTCGTGGACATCGTTTTCGTCAAATTTGGTATTAAATTCCTTTAAAAATTCATTTTAAAGTTTCAAAAGTTTCGATCATCGTATGAAGTAAACCTCTGTGAGGTAGGCTCTATTTTAATTACCTAAACCGACGGTAAACCTCGCGGTTTAGGTTCGCCGCCTTTCCTTTCGCGGGGAACAAAATTTGTTTTTAAAAAATGTTGAATGTTAGTTGAAAGTACCTTTCATATTTTCTCTCTGGAGGAGGATCTGATCGATAAGTCAGGGCGATTTCAAGGATTTAGCCCAAGCAGTAAGATTGCGCAGATGAAGCCGCTACAGCAATTTCCAGCGATTTTCAGCTCTTTGCTGTCCCAGCAGCAAAATACGATTTTATTCCCTAAAAATCTTATAATTTGAAACTAGATCAACTTTGCTAGCTTTAATTATTTTTGCACTTCGACTAAAATAAACGTAACTGAACAAATCGTTCGAGGCTCATGATGCATCATGAACATTCACCAACTGCTTTCCATTCCTTTTCGCACTCAATTTGACTTTTGATTCGTTTTTTAAATTATATTTCATGACTCGTTTCGACGTGACTTTTGAAGACAGGAATTTTTAAATTTAAATCTGACAATAAAAATGTATTAAATGAGAACGAATCAATCACTGTAAAAAAAAAGAAGAGATCAGTATATTTGTACAACATTAAAACTAACGCGATTATTCGACCCGAAGGTTGTCAGAAACGGGTTTTCTGGCTTCCCGACCTTGACCTTGACCCATTCCCGATGCGTCCCGCGCGTTCCTTTCCTTTCCCGGGGAGACGATAAATTCATGTCGGCCCTTCCGCGCCTCGCAATCGCGGATATTGATCGAGCCCGTCAAGAGTGGCGCTTTTTCATTAGCTTCAAAATATATATTTTTTCCTTATATGACGTCATGCTCGAACGGTATCCCCCGCAGACGGTTTCACAAATTAATTATTTATTAGAACACAATCGAGTACTTATCCCTGTCAGACAGGCCATTTACGTATTTTCCATCCCTACTTAATGGGATCGCTGTTGAAGAGGAGATAAATACTCTTACGAACCTCAAATGTTTGTACGAGGGCTGTTCAATAAATGATCATACATTTTTCTAAATACAAAAAAAACTATTTATGCAACAGTTGTGGCTTAGCTGTAGAATATTGCACCGACCTAGTGCACTTCGGTTTCGCATACGGAGCGACGGAGGACACACGCGAGGAACAGTACACTGCTCTGAAATTTGTTATCGCCTCGAAAAGAACATTAGCTGAAGCCTACAGCATGTTGCAGGAGGCACATGAATCCGTGCTTCCATGCAGCACGGCCCGGCGCTGGTCGAAAACGTTTATAAAGAGGGACACGAGTCGATCACGAAGGAGGGCGGTCCGAATAGCCAATGAAAATTTTGGAATATCGGTGGGAAGCACCCACACTATTGTGCATGACCGTTTGAACACGAGGCGAGTTTGTGCACGCGATAAAAATTTTCAGCCAGTTCTCTTACGGTCATACGGCGATCCTCCCTCACGATGACGGCAGTGGTGTTGATGGCTACCACTGCAGTGGCTGGAGCACCCGGACCGACCTCCTTCGTGATCGACTCGCGTCCCTCTTGAAACGTTTTCAACCAGCGCCGGGCCGTGCTGCATGGAAGCACGGATTCACCATGTGCCTCCTGCAACATGTTGTAGGCTTCGGCTGATGTTCTTTTCGAGGCGAAAACAAAATTTCAGAGCAGCGTACTGTTCTTCGCGTGTGTCCTCCATCGCTCCAGAGGCGCTCTAGTTGTTGCCGCCGCGTGCTGCGCAAGAGACTTCTGCGCATTTGTGACGCAATACAAGATGGATCGATGCAATTTTCTGCAGCTAAGTCATAACTGTTGCGTAAATACTTTTTTCTAGAAAAAATGATCACTCTTTACTGAACAACCCTCGTACAAACCCCTTGGGAATTTGACAGTCACCGTCCGTCATAGTTCCCCAAAACTGCCCTGGATTTACGATTGAGGTCTCGTTTCAATGTCGCCAGCCTCTCGAGACAAAGCCCAACGTATTAAGCTTCACCTGTTCAAATGGAACTCCCCCCCCCCCCTCCCCCCCCCCCCCCCACCATTTTCTCTTCCTTATTATTGGCTGGCTTTATTATTATCTAGCTTCCTTAATCCCTGCCAAAATGATATACTTCATTTCTCTCTTCATCTTAAAGCAATTCCGAGGAAAAACAGCGACATTCATGCAATACTCGTCTATTCCTACAGAGCATCACGTCGGGACCATCTTGTACTTCTACGGGCCAGTCGCCTTTCTTCTGCTGGTTAATGTCGTATTCTTTGCCCTCACCAGCCATCATTTGATTCGACATGCCAGAAATACGGCTCATCTGACTAGTAGGCAAAAGCCGACCCAGAAGTGAGTTCCTTAAATCTTCCAATTTTTTTTTTCACTGATGTTAACTCATAACTAAGTGATCTCGGAGACTTCAGGGGGGAAAAAAATTGTGAAAAAGCGCGTTCTCGTTCGTAAAACGTTCTTTTCATTTCTTTTCCGCGCAGCTTTTGGCTCTATCTAAAGTTGTTCGTGGTGATGGGATTGAGCTGGACCACCGAAGTCATCAGTTACCTAGTCAAAGGACCAGAGGAGTATTGGATCTTCACCGACGCCATCAACTGCCTCCAAGGCCTTTTCATCTTCATCATCGTCATCTGCAAAAAAGAGGCCCTGAAAGTCCTCCGCCGGAGAGCCGTCCGCTGCCTCTCCCGCCTCGGCCTCGCGAATCGAGCCTCCTCCCTCCGGGGCGCTCGATCCCAGGGCGGCGAGCGCCCCGGGTCGACGAGACTCGGTGCCGTTGGGACGAGCAGGGTCTCCGATGAGAACGACAGCTCGTTCACCAAGGCGTCTGATCTGTCCTCGGCTGAGGCTGTCGCGTCCTCTCGGCTCTGATCTTTTCCTTTCTTATTCTTTTTTTGCATTTCAAGTTTGATTTCTTTCGTGTCCCATCCAAAAGTAGGAAATAACTCGAAGTAGCGTTAATTTGTTTTCTACGTGTTTTTTGTCTCTTGATTTTCCTGATCCAAGTGAAACACGGTCTTGAAGACCAAGGCGACCGACAAACTTGGGACGCCGTCGAACCAATGCAAAAAAAATCATTTCCCTTTTAGGGTGGTTTGACTTCTCGGAGTGAAAGTATTATGCCCTTGTTCATTTTAATTCGGCAGTCCCTGCATCTATGATTTAACTCTCATTATCGATTACGTGAACCCGAATATAAAAAAATTACTTATATTCAATTTTCTGACACAAGTCCACAAAAGAACATGGCACTGATGGAGAGCACATTCACAGTCCTTTCCCTCATACAGAGTAGAAAACTTTCGTTCTGCGCATTCAGCGGAAAAATCATTGATGGAAGAGTATGTCAAGCTTGCACACCACCAATCAGTCGATTGAACGGTTGCCAGTGCGGCCGACAATTGGATCCTGACCACTCGTGGGAGCATCCACCAACATTAAAGACCAACGCAGTCGCAAACTTCTGATATTACGGGTCGTGGTAGAGCCAATCTGTAGTACTTAATTGCAATCCCAGCAACATCAGCTGTAGGCCAGTCCACTTGGAAAGGGAAATATCGTCGTGTTGGTGGCGTTCACAACGTCGCGAACCCTTACTGACGCCTTGGAGACGTGTATGTTGGTTGCCTGTGGTGCTTCCCTCCATTGCCTAACCAGAGTGGCGCTGAGGATCTGCTGTTTCGGTGTTAGTGCATGGCTTTCTGCAATAGGATGTTCGAGACGCAACCGTTAATTCTGCAGAATGTACTCCACGTCCGATTTAACCGAAACCGTTTATCGAAGGAAAACATTCACAATATTCCGCAAATCAAATCCAGCTCGTGGCTTAACCACTCATTCACGGCGAACTACATCACTCCCCAGCACATCATTCGTCAGATTCTTCAGAATCGCTAGAAAACATGGCTTTACTTACACTTGTGAACACTTCAACCAACGTCTAGAGCAGTGGTTCTCAACCTGGGAGGTATCACCCCCCCCCCCCCCCCCCCCCCCCCGCCGGCCCC